CACTCCAGGAGCTGCGCACTGACGAGGCTCGCTTTCTGAACCCAGTTTGACGAGCCGCTGACCCGCACGCGGACTTTGGAACGCTCACCGGGCCAAATGTGCGCTCTCCGTACACGCGCGTCCACCACAGCCTTTGGTGTGAGTGGTTGAAGCAATAAGTAGGTCAGTAAACTTTATTTAAATAGCCCCTTTTGTAGACACGAACATCAATCACAACGTGATTATCAGAAAAGAAAAACAATTTTCAAACAATTCACAGACTTTTGTTTTGAAATATCCGGTTACCAAAACAGGATGTGTCACCACAAGTTGGGGAAATTGATGATGGTATGGCTGCATTGAGTTTTGAAAACTATTTTTCTATAAAATGATCATTTTTGGATGCTGCTATTGCTGCAGTCACTCTAATTCTGTTACCTCTCCTTCTGGCCATGCTCAGTTTGTTCATAAGAAAAGTGCTGAAATCACCTTATACTGATGTTTCACAAATCACACACTAAATATATATTCAGTAGCTATAGAAGAATTTAGTCCAGTTTTGAAGTCTCCATGTGTTTTAGTTTTTAAACTAGAGCAAATGAAAGTGAAAACAGGTGGAATCGCGCTTTAGCCATTCCTGAAACTTCAGTTTGTTTGTTTTTTTTCCCTCATAAATTTAAGTTTTTTTCTTGTAAATTTCTGACTTTACATGTCGGAAAATATTTAGTTTAAATATCGCAAATTATGGTAAATTAAGAGGGTTTTTTTTCTCCCAAATTTGCGACTTTTCAACTTAAGAGAATTTCCTGTTTGTTTGTTGTTGTTTTTTTTCTCGAAAATTTCGGAAATTAATCTCAGAAATTCTGATTTTTTTTTTCTCGGAGATTTGCCCTAATACGTACCTTACCGTAGCTGCTATAGAATATTCGATATAATAATAATAAAATTATAGAACACCCCACTATTACGTGACCAGACTCACATGTCCTGCACTGTAAAAAATGAACTGTTGGATTTACTTAACCATGTTATGTKACCTGGTTCCACTTAACTGAGTTGAGTAAATTCAAAGTAATATACCAGTTTTTTAGCCAAAGAACATGAGTATGTTGCTTTGAATTTACTCAACTCAGTTAAGTGGAACCAGGTCATAACATGGTTAAGTAAATCCAACAGTTCATTTTTAGAGTGTGTGTGTAACAGCTACTCGTATTGGCCATCCCCTGTACCTGTCTGAACTGGGCGTGTTTTCACTCCAGTCCAGAGGGAACCTTATTCCTGATTTATTTCGCTCCACAAGAATTTTCTGGGAATAATTCACCGTCAGAAAACTTAAGGTAAGAGTATTCCCATACTGTTCCAGTAACTTCTGTTCAATGAACCACTGCAGCTAAAAGTTCCCGTTACTTGTAGCAGATTTGGGCCCAAGCTGCGTTTCRTTAAACTTGTTTTATTACCTACAGCCACTGCTGCTCACAGCCCAGGTGYTGTTAATCTGGGTTAGGCTAACAGAGCAGGAAGTACACGTGTACAACAAGTAATTCCATAACTATAATCTGCTGGGAATACTAAAACTTTTATTCTTTATTGTGTACCTGTTAAAGCTGGACTTTTATACTTTAAAGAAGTGCTGATAGTGTGTTTTTAAAAGGGGGAGAGRGTGATTTCCTCTCCAAATTCTGTGTACGCTCACATATACACATATATATAGTTAATTATTGAAATGGTCAAAATTCAAATTGATTATTGATGCCTTTCATCTCTTTTTGTTCTGTTTAAGCCAGTGTATTATTTTGGGATTGAAGTCAACATGCTCCAACACATCTCAGCAGGCATGCATCATCACCCTGTTCCCTGCTGCAGCAGCACAAAGAGAGTAGAGTGTGTTTCATTAAATCTTGCCTCCTGGCATCACGATTCCACACACTTTTTTTTTCTCTTTCCAGTGGCAGGACAAGTGAAGCGTGTGTTGTGATGATTCCCCCCCACCGGTCGAGACCAGTTTGTGTCAGAGTTTTACACTTGTTTTAAACAGATTTAAAACCTACACTGGTGGTGCAGTGCGTGGAAACGCTCGCTTCGTGTTCTCTCTCCTGCACCAGAATCGTGTTCGTGCTCGTCACACATTCCACAGCTTCACTCTCTGCTCCCTTACCCCCCACCCCTTTCTTATYTCCCTCGCTATTATGTCTTCTATCATCTGCACGCTCCTTGTCATTATAATCAACCAGTTTTTTCCAGCAGGGTCTGTCCCATTGTCAGCAGAGAGTTCTGCAAGCTCATCGCTTAGTGTGTGTGTGACTGTATAGATGTTTAATTCGTAGTTAAAAAGGCATTGGCTGATTTCGGGGCTGCAGTATCATTGCAGAGACACTGCAGTGGAGAATGTAGTTGTAATCTATTTTATATGAAACAATGTCAAAGGAAAAACACCCAGAGATTAGTGGGGGAATATTTCCTGCCAGCCAAGTCAGTCAGACAGTTGAGAAACACTTAATCCACTGACGTATTTTATTTGCAGAGTTTCTTAATGTTTCAAAGCAGAAAAAAAGGTAAATATATTTATGACTACTGCGGTTTTTTTCCCCCTTTTTGTCTTTTTGGACCAGGGCCATGATAAAAGCAGCAGAGGTCGGMGATACATCATGGGAACTTTCAGTGCAGGTGGATCAGAAAGAGGGAGTCGAGTCGATGAAATTCAAACTTCGGGTGAAAGGAGACTTGCACGTTGGGGGGCTCATGCTCAAGCTGGTGGAGAAAATCAGTAAGTTCACGTTTTAAACGGGTGAGAAGCGGCTCCGTGGTGGTGCCGCAACAGGTCTGTGTGCCGAGCCACACCCTTGTTTGCCCTGCATTTTTCCACACCGCAGGGCTATTGTTTTGTAACAATGCAGCGACTTGTGTAGCCTTGGGGGTCAAAGTGTATCCAGACGTCTCTTTACGGTCTCTCATAGGAGCCGCCGAAGCTAATGTAAGGGGAATTTCAGTGAGGTGGTTTTAAAAAGGCGTAAGACAAATAAAAGATGACTAAACAGCTTGTCATCGTGGATTTCAGCCCAGATGATATCAGGTAGACTCATAAAACCACACCACCGACGCACCAATGGGTACTGCAAGTGTTGCTAGCAGACGTAATGGTTTGAAATTTTTTTAGCTTTGAAACATGTAATAAGCATTCAGATCCAGCTTGCTCRAATCTTAATACGCTAAAGTGCCTGTGACACAAAAACATATGGCAGTCCAACATTTTAAACTGCAGCGAGTTGCTCTGATTTACAGTATGTGAGCTGAACTCGGCTCTTCATCTATAGCTCAAGGATCAAGGAAGGCCTTGAGCACAGCTGGATTCAGATTTTGAGAGAAAATAAATGGTTCATACCAAAAGTAAAGGAAGACAGATTGTATATGTCAAATGAGGAAAAAATAGAACTTTCAAATTTAGCACATAACAGTTTAAAATTTCCAGTTCATCATCATCATCATCATCATCATCATCATCATCATCATCATCACTTTATTGTCTCCT